CTTGCACAGTCCCACAGCAGCCACCCATGCTGCACACCACACTTTCTCCAGCAATTTCTTTGCGCAATCCAAGATCACAGACTGTTTACTGTCTCTTTTCCAAATCTGTTGTTTATATTGGAGGATGCCCCACCACAGTCACCAAGCAAGGGGACCTCAGATGCTCACCACGCAACACACAGCTTCATGTGAAGGAAATCTCTAAAACCCCCTGGTGGTAATTAAGCTGTGCTTCTGTACCATTATATACAGCAAGCCATACCACTCAAGGTCATCACTTCATCAGCACAGACATCAGCTTTAGTTGGTAAACTAAATAATCAGGTCTAGAGCTACAGAATTGCACTAGTTTCCCAAGTCCAGCAACTGATTTGTTCTCTTCTGCTCCTGAATCATAGGGCCCTGTTCAGCTTTATCCTGCCACTCAGATCATCCCTGTCCAGTGCTCACAGTGTGCTGAAGTCTTGCCCCACTGTCTCTGACTACAGCACAGCCCTCTGCTGAAGCCACAGCCTTCAGAAGAGCATGACCACAGCCTCAAAACAGCTGTAGCATCTACTTTGAAAGTGAGGGAAGGACTCCACCCTTGAATGGGGAAAATAAAAGGCTGCCAAATGCTAGCATCAGGCTCTGTAACAAGCAGGTGTTGCTCTACTGCAATTGTGGGGAAAAAAAACCCCAGCTCCTTACAGTTTAATTACAAAGCACAAATAGATACCTGACATCAGCCTTTCACTGAGTGGCAGCTCAGATTTTGGAGCTACTTCTGAGCCATTCTGACAAAACCAGTCCCACCTGCTCCTGCTCCACCTTGCATGGCTGACCTGACAGCATGACAGGTCATGGGATTTTTCACCTTTCCATCTCCTGACTCCATCCCAGCCACCAAGGGAGTTCATGCTCTCAAAGCTTCCCAGTAGCTTTGCAGCATCCTTCTGGAGAGGGGCTGCTAGGCTCACAGGCAATATCTTTGTCCATGGCTGTCTCTCTGTTGTCATATTCTTATTCTGGGTGAAAACCCAGGTCATCTCATCTTGCTTGTGACAGCATTTTGCCAGTTTTCTGCAATGGATACAGTCCCCAGCTTTCTTACGTCTGCATTCATACAGGCAGGAATAAAGGAAAACCACTGGTCAAACATAATTCCCCCCATCCCCAAACACCAAAAAGATCCCATGTTGGACATCAGGACACCTTGTACAGACCACAGTCTGGAAGAGCCCAGGATGGCCCAGCCCCAGCCCAGCCCAGGACAAGAGGAGACAGCAGCAGAGCAGTTAGCAGGAGCACATGAAGGCAAGCTTGGAAAATCCAGTCACGTTTGCCCAAACAAAGCACACGTCTACTATCAGACAGATGGCAAACCACCTCCACCCCCAAACCCAAGTCACTTAATAGTTTATGGGACATGAATAACCTAAAAGCCCTTCAAGTCCAGGGGCTACAAGGACATCACATACAAAACCACAGTGCTGCTTAATGCCAGTGACAAGCCAGTCAAGGTCTCATCATGTTGGAGGGGTGAAGCATTCTTGTTCATCTCTCCAAGCACAAATGTGCCTTTCTTTGCCTGTCAGAGATACTTTTATTTATATATAGTGCAAATGTAAAAGAGAAAAAAAAGAAGGAAAATCTACACACCACCTATCAGCCAAGCAGGTTACTCCAGCCTCAAAGCACACAGATTCCAGTTCAGATGCCAATTCAGTTACTACTTCACCCAGCTACAAAACCATTTCAAACATGGAAAAAGAACCCTATCAAGGTATTTTTATATCACTTTTATTCACTGTTTGCAATAAACCCTTAGAAGACTGAATCCAGAATCTCATTTCTTACTAACCATTTCTATGCACACTAGCTAGGTCTTAGAGAATTTCAGTGTGTGTATGCAGGACAGAAAGGGAAGGAGAAGCAAGGATTAATCCCCAGCTCATGAACAACCAAGCCCCGCCTTTGAAGGGGATTCCAATGAAAGTTTTGGATGACCAAAGAATGCCCCATCGGTTTCATGAATGATGACGCAGATTGTGCAGCCAGACACACAGCCACACTGCACTTCCATTTTTGAGCAGAAATTTGGCAGTGTCTCCACAGAAATATTTCCATTATTAAGGTCAACAGGCTGCAAAGCAGTTCTTCAGTGCAGTCCTAAAAAGACCACAGCCCTATTTAAGAATTAGCAGCGTTGTACTTGCCAGGGATTTCCGCTGGAAAAGCTTGAAAAGAAACACAGACATCTCCCTCACTACATATTTTCATAACATTAGACCCATCGCTTTCCTACACCCTGTCAAAAGTGACGCCAACCACAATTCACATGCATGAGAGCAAGCTTGGCAGCATGACTTTAAACATGCATACCTCCTCATCAACAAAATCAGGAGGGAAAAAAAAAGTCTTCAGCTTCTCAACTGCCATTTAGGGACTCTTAAACAGCCTTTTATTCAGAGCAGACACACAGCAAAGTATATTTCAGGTTAAATGCAGATTTTACCCAAGTCAAATCACAGTTCACATTTTTCATACAATCCAGGTCATAGCTGGGATAGATTTAGGCATCATCCAAGAGGTCAAGCAGGATTCTTGATAAATTGCAGCCTTTAATCACTCTTCAGCACTTCCACAGATTAAATCTGCCTTTGAAATGTGTTTGCATTCTCAACATACTCTTTCCCCAGCTAGACTCACATAGTATTTGTGTTAAGACAGTCATCCCCTGCCCCAAGGCAGGGCCACTTGGGATACTATGCAGCAAGGCCTGGCTTCTTCCCTTGAAAGTGCTGGAAACACTGACACCCCTTTTCCACAGGCACCATCACCCAGGGGCATTTGGAGCTCCTGCTCCTTCCATGCCCAACCACACACTGCTTACTTGTGCCTCTGCTTCCCAGCACACCCAGCCTGGGTCCTAGGTGACAGCAATCTTTTCCCATCTCCGAGGAAATATATGTAGCACAGCCAAATTCCAAGGGAAAAAGGCATTCAGTTTCAATGTCCCCCTTATGCTTCCTCTGCCTGTCACTGGTCAGCAAAGATACCAATCACCTGCACAGTCCAGCTCCTATTTGCATTTCACTTTTAAAGCATCATCTAGTTACAAGGGAAAAAGAAGGGTCAGCCACAAAGCATTTACATACACACACTCCTCCCATCCCTTCCCTCCACCCCCCCAAAAAAAAAAGGAGATATACAACTGCAGACCTGAATTATTCACAAAGCTAAACCTTCAACAGCCACCCATCACACCTGCACATACAGTTTGCTGTCCTGGTTAATTCCGGCAGGGTTTTTCTGTTTGTTTTAGGGATTTTGTGGTGGTGGGTTTGGAGTTTTTAGTTTTCACAGGGTTTTTCTGGAAGGCAGATCACATTGCTCCAAGCGCCATGTCAGCAGCAAGACCCAGCATGTGGATATCACTCAGTAACTCAAGCAGTACCAGTTCACCACCCCCTAGTCCAATGGCCCTTACATAAGCTAACACAGTTAGAGAGAGATACAATTAACAGAGCCAGGATGCAGGCTGAGGAGAAAACAGCATCTCCTTACTCTCAAGGTCCAGAGAAAAAACCCAAAACAAACCAAACAAAAAAAACCCCACCCAAACAGCAACAACAATAAAACAAACAAAAAGCCAACCCCCAAAACACACCTTACAATTCACATCTGCCTATGAAACAATTCAGCACCAGTGCTTGCTTTAATTCAAATCATACTCTAGTTCCCCTGCAATTTCAGGCTACCCATAAATAATGTTCCAACATACTTTTAACGTAGGTGTATATGCGTGCATGTAATGAAAACGCACACTTCTAGAGCACTGCTTGCAGTCCAGAGTGTGTTTTGAGTTCATGCAGACCTATACAATGGAGTGCATTTCCCATGGCCCCTGCCAAACCTCAGAGCGGGTGCAGGGAGGACACAGATTAGGAGGCAGTACCTGTATATACATAAACTAAACCAGATGCTGCTGGAAAACACCACCAATAAAATCAACCTTTAAAAAGCACCACAACTAGTCACACTCCAGAGAAGAGAGATTATGCTTTTTGTTAGATGAAGGGGAACAGAGGAAGGAAAATAATTGCTCTTAAGAATAGCTCCAGAAGGTGTAGTCTGGGAATCCCTTCTAGGTGAGACACTTAGACAAAGAACATGGAGTACCCCTCTTTCTTCAGGGAGGAAAGCTTCCTGCTAGGGCCAGGGCTCAGATATGAAAAAAGGCATTTTATATAGGGCTATCGAGACCAACACACCCATTGTCTTCCAGCAGGAGCTTTCCTGCATTCAGAGGGGCTGCAGCAGCACAGGCCAGGTTTGGGGGTGAAGGGCTGAAGGAAGAAAAGGGATACCTGCGGTCTTTTAAGCATCTCTATGTTTACACATAGCCCCAAGGAAGGGGGAGCTGCATGGTAAAGGGAATTAGGACAAAAAACCACAGTGCTATTCAAAAGAATCAGAACAAGGAGAAGAATAGGTTAGGGCCTTTTCAACAATGGCACCGTCAATGCCCAGGGCCAAACCCCAAAAAGCGGAGAGAAAAGGCATGGACAAAGGGGCATGTAACACTCCCCTCATCTCAGAATAGGGTTATTTTAAGCCTGTCTCCTTGGAGCTACCCTAATATTTTCTCTCATGACTCAAGTCATCAGGGAAGGGAGTTAGAGCTGAGGAAAAAGAAAAAAGAAAAGAGACAGAGCTAAGACCAACATGATAAGACTCCCTTCTAGAAGGGGCAAAGCCCCAGGAGGGCTGGAAGGCGTGCTGGGCTATGCCTTACCTGGAAAAGTGTGTGGGTTGGGTGACCCTCTTTTAAGGCACTTTGAACAGAGGACGTGCACAGTGTAGTACAGGCCCGGCCATTCCTGGAGCAGGACATTCAGTTCTTCCACTAAAGGGGTAATAGCTTGCCAGGCTGTCCAGATATTTGGTAGGGACGCGTGACTAGCAATAGATAGAGTGTCTGGCTGCAGAGCTCCCCTGGCAGGCCGGTAACTCACCACCACGGGCACCTTTCCCCGGTAGGCATAGATCTGGTATTTGCCATCTGACCGCTGAACCACATGGCTGTTAATCTGGACGCTGTAGCGTGCAAACAAGCCGGGTGGGAAAATGAATGGAAAGCTATATTCAATCTGCAGCTGCTCAACCACGAAGGACTGTCCACTCAGATTGGCGCCGTTGATCCATGCCTCTGCATGGGGCACCTCGTTTTTCACGTAGCAGGGAAACTTGTACCAAGCGGCCGCCCCATTTAAGGGCTTGCATTTGGGTTTGTTGACACAGTAACAGAGCCCCATCTTCTCCAGCAGCTCCAGGATGAGCTGCAGATCCTCCCGGCTCTGGATGTGGGGCTTAAGAAGGAGACGGATAACGTGAGCAGGGAGAAGGCCGTGCAGCAAGAAGCCCTCCACGTAATGATGGAGCTGAGTGGCCCTCAGTTCATCTATCTGGGGGTCACTGAGCAGTTTCTGGAGCAGTACGGCAGCATCCCGCTGGCAGAAGACGTTGAGGATGTCAATGAGCCGTGGCAGATTGTGAAACACATACTCCCGCAAGGTGAGGTGCTCCTCAAAGTAGAGCAGCTTCCCGCTCTCATGCAGGTAGGACAGGGCACTCTGGAGTCGATCCTCTGTCAGGCCTGCCTGCAAGCCCAACCGGGCAGAGTCCCACCAGCTAAGCCACAGCTGCTGAGCTTGTGGTTGGAAGTGCAGCTCCTCCAGCACTTGCCAGGATTTGGGCAACACGCGGTGCAGGTTCGGGAAGATATCCCGGTGCTCAGCCACCGAGAGGAGCTTGTCCCGCAGGCGATGCACCTGACAGCGGTCCCGGCAGCTGAAAGGCAGCACTGGAGAGAGGATCTGCGGGCGGTGGTTGAGCAGGTACTGAAACTGGGCTTTCTTCCGCCGCAAGTTCTTGTCTGAGACCCCGTAAAAGGCAGCGTGCGGGCTGGAGCAGCGCAGGTCAAAGTCCTGTCCCAGAGCCTCATCTACCTGCTGGACCAAGCTCTGGAGTCCCTCAGCATCCCTCTTCTCCTGCTGTGCAATCTGGTGATGGATGTCCAGGCACTTCTCTTCCAACTCCCGCTCCGCACAGAGGTCAGCATGGGTTCCCACCATGCACACCACAGCATGGGGCACCTTGGAACCAAGCCAGTGCAAGAAATAGCCTACAGAGGGGTAGAAGTGCTGAGGGACATAGGCACTCAAATTCACCACCAGCACATACAGGGCTCCAGGAGACAGGAAGAAAGACTGGATAACATCATAGCTCGGGTCCCCCGCCAGCTCATACACAATGAACGTCAGGCCCCTCTCTGCATCCGCTGTCCAGTCCATCACCTCAATGCCCTTGCTGCCTCCTGACGTTCCCAGTCCTGGTGGTACTTGCGGGGCATTGAGTGGCAATGATGGTGCAGGGCATGGTACTTCCCCTTTCACTCGGTGAGAGGACACATGAGAAGGGATGTCCTGACGCTCAACAGGGAGATGTTCCAGCTGCTGCATGGCAGGTGCCCCAGCTGAGGAAGCATCCTGAGGCTCTGGGAAGGGGCAACACCCAACTGGCACTCTCCCACCGTCCTCCTGTTGCCCAGGGAACTCCCTGGGCTGGGTGCTCGCCCCCCGCCTCTAGACTTCCCGCATCTTCCTTCCGCCCATCCTCCTCCATGAGGCATCGTCTCAGCAAGGTCTTTCCTGCATCCTTTAGGCCCATGAGGACCAGCTTGAGGCGGGGTTTGAGCGCAGGCTGGGAGTGGGCTAATGCCTGCTGGTAGGCTGCAATGTAGGGGATGCCTTTCATGCATACCTCATAGGGGGGCTGGATGAGGGGGTTGTCTTTGATCTTCCACAGGGTGACGCGGGAAAGCTGCCCGAAGCCCTCCGGGAGAATGGCAATCTGGTTGCCTTGCAGGACCAGCTCCTCCAGGCTGTGGAGAAGCACAATGGAGTCAGGCAGGTAGCGGATGCGGTTGTTGTCCAGCCAGAGCGTGCGAAGCTGGTGGAGCTGACAAAGGTGAGGAGGCAGCAAGGTGAGCTGGTTACGGCTCAGGTAAAGCTCCTCCAGGCTAGGGAGCGCCAGGATGGCAGCAGGGAACTCCCCCAGCAGATTGGAGGAGAGGTTCAGCATCTTGAGCCGCTGCAGGCTGCCGAAGCCAGCAGGCAGGGCCTGCAGACGGTTGCCGTCCAGCATGAGGCTCTCAAGGGCACTGAGCTGGCAGAGACCCTCAGGCAGGGCCGCCAGCCCGGTGCCACTCAGCCAGAGGATCTTGAGGCGGCGGAGGGCAGCGATGCCCTCGGGCAGGGCCCCAAGATGACGGTTGCCGGAGCAGTCAAGCTCCTCCAGGGCAGTCAGCTCCAGCAGCGGGGCAGGGAAGGAGGGCAGCAGGTTGTGGTCGACGTCGAGGGTGCGGAGGTGCTGCAGGCGGCCCA